TGGGGGGGTGTTGGAATGTGGGGGGGCAGGAGGGAAGGGAGATTGGGGGGACCTGCAAGGGAATGAGGAGAGGAGGAATTTGGAGGTTGGGGTAGGACGTTGGCGGGGGAGCAGCTGTCGATGCAGTGGAGAGGGTCGCTCAGCTCAGGGACGTGCACTGGGGTCTGGGCGCTTCATTGGGGAAGGATGGAAGGCAGAGATCGGGCAAGGTTTGCAGAGCGGGAGCCTTGCGGGGCAGCGTCCTGTAGGGCGGTGGGCATTGTGGGCTGCCCCTGCGGCTGGCGTGTGTTACGTGGGCTGCACCCACACAATCTGTCTGCAACCGGCGTGGCCCAGAGGACGCCCGGGGGCTACAGCCGTGTGCTGATTGGGCGGCAGGTTGAGAACCCCTCTCTCTCGGGGCTCCTTGGTCAGTGGCCATGTGCTGGGACCAGGCGACTAGGAAAAGCCCAGGTGAGGCTCCGTGCCTGGAGCTTTGGGGGGAGGGGGTGAAGTCGAAATGCCCCGCAGGCCTGCCTGCCCCTTTCACACCAGGCTAGCGAGGGGAGCGGGGAGCGAACCCCAGCCGTGCTGAGGTACGCAGACTTAGGGGGACCCCAAATAACCTTCATCCAGGAGTGGGGAGCTCCCTGGTGCCACCCCTCTTGCCTCTAAGCGATGGGGCCCAGCCGGAGTGGAGGAGGGGCCCCGTGCTGTTGTCTCCCTAAGAGGGGACAGGGCCTCCTGGCATTGCAAGAGGGAGAAGCCCATGATGAGGGGGGAGCCCTGTGGTGCCTGGCCGCTGGAGAGGCGGAAGGTGGGCCGGGGGATCCCCGGGAGCCAGGCCCCCCAGCGGGAAGTGGGAATTGTGCCTCACCCCGCCTGCAATCGCTCAGGATGATTCAGGAGGAGAAGGAATCCACGGAGCTGCGCGCCGAGGAGCTGGAGACCCGCGTCACGAGCGGCAGCATGGAGGGCCTCAATCTGATGCAGCTGCGCAAGATGATTCAGGAGGAGAAGGAATCCACGGAGCTGCGCGCCGAGGAGCTGGAGACCCGCGTCACGAGCGGCAGCATGGAGGGCCTCAATCTGATGCAGCTGCGCAAGCGGGCGTCCATCCCCACCTCGCTGACAGCCCTGTCCCTGGCCAGCGCCTCGCCCCCGGGCAGCGGGCGCG